GTTATCATTTCTCAACATATACAAATATTGAATAATTATATTGAACTATTATATGCCAATTATGTCTCATTAAAAAATAAAAAATTTTAAATAAAGTACATAACTCAGTAGCATTTAATATGTTCACAATATTACACAACCATCACGTCTATCTAGTTCCCGTATATTTTCAATATCCCAAAAGAAATCTACATACTTATTAGTCACTCCCATTTCCCCTCTCAATCAGCCTTGGCAATCACCAGTATGTTTCTATGAACTTACCTGTTCTGGATATTTTGCAGAAAAGGAATCATAATCACACAATATATGAACTTCTGCATCTGACTTCTTTCACTATATTTTCAAGGTTTATTCACACAGTATCATGTACCAGTATTTCATTCATTTCTATGGCCAAGTAGTAATCCATTGTATGTATATACCACATTTTGTTTATCCATTCATATGTTGATGGGACACATAGGTTGTTTATAACATTTGACTATTGTGATAGTGGTGATATGAACATATATGTACAAGTATTTTAAGTGGATGATTTTTTGATTTTCTCTTGGATAGGTACCTAGAAAGGGAATTATGGGTCATACAGTAATTTTATGTTTAACTTTTCTAGATACCATCAAATTATTTTTCTACAATGACTGAACCATTTTACATTCCCACAAGCAATATATGAAGGTTCCCGTGGAACATCTTCACCAATACTTGTTATTTTTTGTTTTTACTATAGCTATCCTTTTGGATGTAAAGTGGCATCTCTCTGTGGTTTTGATTTGCATTTCCTTGAAGATGACATGCACTTTGATACTTTCAAGATTCTGTATTCAGCTTTAGATAGTTTGAATATATAATGTCCCTCGTTGTGAATCTCTTTGAGTTTCTCCTGTTTGAATTTGTTAAGCTTCCTGGATGTACAGATTCAAGTGTTGCAACGAATTTGGGAAGTTTTCAGCCATTATTTCAAGTATTCCTGCCCATTCCCCTCCTCTCCTTCTGGTACTCCCTTTTTGCAAATGTTGGTATGATTCATTGCACTCCACAGGTCTCTTAAGCTTTATTTAGTTTTTCCTTCATTCTTTTTTCTTTCTGCATTTTGGATTAGACAAATTTCAATTAACCTGGGTTCGAGTTCACTGGTTCGTCCTACTGCCTCCTCACATCTGCTATTGGAATCCTCCAGTGTTTTGTGTATGTGTATTTTCATTCCAGTTTTAGTACTTTTCTGCTAAAAATTTGTGTGGCTCTTTTTTTTAGTTTCTTTACTAATATTCTCCATTTGTTGGGACATTGTCCTCCTGAATTCCTTTAACTCTATGAGTGTATTTGAGACAGTTCATTTAAAGTCCAATGTTTGTGTTTCATAAGGGATGGTCTGTATTCCTTTCTTCTGTAAATGGGCCATACTTTGTTTCTTTGCATACTTCTTAGCTTTCTGTTAAAAATTTTTTGGTATTATAATGTGGTTCTCTGGAAATGGGATTCTTCTTGCCTCAGGGTTTTTGTTTGTTGCCTGCCGTGGCTGTAACCGTTTGTTACTTACCTAAACTATTTTCGAGTATCGATTCTTTGACTTCTGTAGTCTCCGAGGTCTCTTTTTGCTTGCATAGTAAGCTGACAGATTTCCTTGAATACCAGTAACCAAGAAACAATGGGGCGCCTGGGTGGCGCAGTCGGTTGGGCATCCGACTTCAGCCAGGTCACGATCTCGCGGTCCGTGAGTTCGGGCCCCGCGTCGGGCTCTGGGCTGGTGGCTCGGAGCCTGGAGCCTGTTTCCGATTCTGTGTCTCCCTCTCTCTCTGCCCCTCCCCCGTTCATGCTCTGTCTCTCTCTGTCCCAAAAATAAATAAAAACGTTGAAAAAAAAAATTTAAAAAAAAAAAAAAGAAAAGAAAGAAATAAAACAAGAAGTAAAAAAAAATTAAGGAAAAGAAAAAAAATCCTTCGAGTCTTTACAGATTGACTGTGTTGGAACACACCTTCAGTGCTTAGCTAGGCCATTTAAAATCTGCCTTAGTTTTCACTATCTGCTTGTGCTGAGCCTGGAGATCAGCCAGCAGTGAAAGCTTAGGGTCTTCTCTAAGCATGTAAGTTGGCCTGGACATGAGTGGCTTTCTCAACTCCCCAGTATACGTAGGCTTTGAAGGCCTAATTTCCCTAAGAAACTCTCCTTTTTTTCCCTCTCAGGCTTTACGCTCTTTTATTTACCTCAGCTGTCATTTTTTGCCCCAGGTAGCAGCAGGGCATTCATTGGCCTTAATTTATTTTTGAGACAGAGAGAGACAGAGCATGAACAGGGGAGGGGCAGAGAGAGAGGGAGACACAGAATCTGAAATCAGGCTCCAGGCTCTGTCTGAGCTGTCAGCACAGAGCCCGACGCGGGGCTTGAACCCACGGACCGTGAGATCATGACCTGAGCCGAAGTCCGACGCTCAACCGACCAAGCCACCCAGGCGCCCCTCATTGGCCTTATATTTTTGAGAAATGCCTGCCACTTTTCCACCCTGAGTTGTGAATTAGATGAAACAAAGGCAAGTGCCTTGCTTCAGTCCTCCAGATTGCCCCAGGCAGAACCGTTTTTTGAGAACAAGAGGTCCTCTACTCCTTCAGGACCAGTGAACAGGGTCCCCACTCGGAGAATGTGTGTTTGCCGTCTGTCTTCACCAGGGAGCTGGGAAGGGGAATGGAGCAAGAGCAAGTAAAATAACAAAGATTTCCTAGTTTTAGGTTTGCCTTTTCTTGATTCAGCATTTGCTTTGTTGCTATAAACCTAGTTCTGACAAAGTTGTTTCTGAATGGTTTTGCCTCAGGAGGAATGAGTCCTTGAAGCTGCCTATTCTGTTTTTGCTGATAGGTTTTGTTGTTTTGTTTTGTTTTGAGTGCTTGATATTGTATATGAAAAACTGTAAAGCTGATTTAAGGCTTGGGATGTTAAAATTCTCTGGTGATCTGGGCGCACTTGGCTAGCTCAGTCAGTGGAGCATGTTACTCTTGATCTCAGGGGTTGTGAGTTAGAGCCCTACGTTGGGTGTGGAGCCTACTTACAGTAAAAATTTTTTTTAATTTTTAAAACATTTTTTTAAGCTGAGTCATACATTGGGTGGCTCAGTTGGTTAAGCATCCAACTTCAGCTCAGGTCATGATCTCACAGTTCTTGGTTTCGAGCCCCACGTCGGGCTCTGTGCTGACACCTCGGACCCTGGAGCCTGCTTCAGATTCTGTCTCCGTTTCTTTGCCCCTCCCCTACTTGCGCTCTCTCTAAAGTAAAATAAAACATAAAAAAGTTCTCTAGTGATTTATTTTTGCTTGTCAGTTGCATTAGCATTCCTAGGTAACTTTAAAATGTCAGAGAACGGAGGACTTAAAGCTGGACTTCAGGCCCTGTGAGGGCCACTCTGTTTCTCATTAATCCCTTAGAGTACAACTGAAAGCCTGGAATGTTTACCAAGGCCCTTCTTCCTTGGTGGTGCCTGTGTGGAAGTGTATTTTAGGAATTTTAGAACTTGCTGAACTCTGTAAATATAATACATATTAGCTACACTCTATTTTCAAAGTTCTCTGGGTTATAGGCAAGAAATTAAGTGTGGAAAAGACTCAGCACAAATTGGAGCCAACAATTTGTCAAGTAGAAATGAATGCCTTCTTCATCTTATCATCAATGGAAGGAGTAAGGTGAAAGAAATAAGGCAATAAATAATAGGGCAAGCAAGTTAATGTAGAAACCAAATTTATTGATGGATTTACTGAGGGCAGATTATTTTCTTACATATTATCCACAGGTTATGTTGACATCTGATTTTGCAGAGAAATTGTATCATTATTTTTATTAAGATAATTAACACTTCTGAAGGTAAATTTAGTTCCTTGAAGTAGCACGTTTTCTAATCTCTAATAGGGCTTGGCTTTACTTAGCTATCACAATCAAATCTCTCTAAAGTTATGCACTTAAGTTGATGTGGTCACCAAATGTTTTCTTTGTGTATATTCCTTCTTCTAGTGTGCTGATTCTTCATGTTGAAAAATGTCAACTTCCAGAAATTTGGCTGCTAGATCAAAACTGTCAGGACCCATCTAAGGGTTAAGATTTCAGTAAAGAAAAATATACATATACATATTTTATTATATACAAAGAACAAAGTTTCAGATGAAGGTAAACAAGAGGATAGAAATTATCATCATAATTAATAGCTTCAAAAAGCCCTTTTAAATCACTGGGACCTCTGCCCAAGATACAGGCCACATAGCCATTAATCAGAGCTCTTGGTAGTTCTCCCATAAAAGTAATCTATATTCTGGAGAAGGTGGCTTCTTACAAACTCTGTGGGGGCTAATGTGTTAAGGCCTCATAAAGAAAGGAGTGCTTCTTCATCTAGGGGGAAACAGACTAAAAATATTGAAGGAAGGAATGCTTCTAGGGTTATGTTTATTGTTGATAGTAATTTTAGGCAGAACCACAGAAAAGTGTTAAAGACTTCTAGATAAAATTCAGGCTATCTCATAATAAGAATAGATACCATTTTGTAGCTCTACAGATGGTTTGGTCGCAAATGAAAAAGGAGAAAATGAGCTGAGAATGCAGACTGGAAAAGTCTAGGGAAGGAAGCAAGCAGATACAGACATAATTCAATCGTATCAAGAAAAGAACGGAGATGGTCCTTCCCAAGAGCAAGTTGGCGGTATTCACCTACATAAATTCAAGCCTAGAAGAACACGCAACTTTTATATATGTGCTGCCTAGTGATATACCAGAAAGGGCTATTTTATATCAAAAGCTAAAAATACACATTTACTGAATGCAAGTCTCAAATAAAACCCAACTTAATGTACAGTGAACTACAAGAATGACAGAAAAATAGGCAGACATATTAAAGTCAACTAAATTTACAGTATTGCCTTGATATTTTCCATTCGTTTTTCATCTATACATAAGGCTCAAGTTCTGGAGTTATAGGTTCTATTTTTCATTTTTCTTAAAAATAAAATTAGCAATCCTCAAGTTAACTAAAGATTTATCTGGGCTCGTAGAGGTAATCTGCTCCTTGTAACAGAATGCTCTGTAGTTTCTTCCACTTTAGACCTCTCCACTGAATTAATGCCCCTGTTTTCTTTGTCTTTTCCATGTGATTTTTTATGCTGTGAATATTAAGGGAAGAAATTAAGTCAATAAAGTAGCATTTTACTTTACATATTACAGCTATGTGTTATTACATAACATAATACATATTAGTTACACTCTATTTTCAAAGTTCTCTGGGTTATAGGCTAGAAATTAAGTGTGGAAAAGACTCAGGACAAATTGGAGCCAACAATTTGTTTGTCAAGTAGAAGCGAATGCCTTTTTCATCTTACCATCAATGGAAGGAGTGAGGTGAAAGAAATATTAATTTTCTGCATGATTTTCCAAGACAAAATTACAGATTTTACTATAGGGCAGTGGTTCTCATCGGGGAGCAATTTGACTCCCCAGAGTACATTTAGTAATATCTGGAGACATTTCTGGTTGTTAAAACTGTAAGGTGCTACTGGCTTCTAGTGCGGAGAAGCCAGGGATGCTGTGAAACGTCCTGTAATAACAAGACAGTCCACCACGACAAAGGATTATCCAGCTCAAAATGTCAACAGAGCTGCTATTGATAAATCCTGCTCTAGGAAAATGAAGATTTGATATCATGCAACAACAGGCAATTCTATTTTAAGCAGAGAATCTGATATATGGCTACCTTGAGGTGTTTTTTTAAGCTGTATTTTACCTTTTCTTTTAAACATTTCATATTTCTCACTTGGGAATTGTATTTCATTGGAATTCTCATACTTGCCCATAGAGAGCTTTAAGAGACCAATGACATCCATTGCAGACCCAGTCATCCATGCTGAGACAAATCATACATCAACTTTAGAATTTCAAACCCAGAAAATTTCCCCACATGAGACTGCTATCAGGGAAAACATAATTTTCAGACTTCAGCTGAAGGTCTAAAATCCAACCCCAAATCTTTTCTGGTACTGTAGGGACTTCCCTGCCACAGCTGAACCACTGAGCCTCGCTTTCAAAATATCATGAACGGTAGTAATGAAAGGATTTCCAACCAGAGATTAAGTAGTCACTAAGGTTCTCTTTTCTTAAGTTTCCTTCTTTCCTTAACTTTATAAGACAGAAGAGAGGGCTGAAAAATGGAAAGAAATATATTTAGAGTTCTCTAACAATAAAGCAAAAGGTAGGAAGGATTTGGGGATAAAATTACCTTGAGGCAGACATAGAGGACCTGAACAGAATCTAAGTTAGAAGTTTTAACCAGCTTACATGGGGGATGGAGAATTTTTAGACCTTGGTGGGAAGACCCCTGCAAGTCTATTAGATACAAGCACATACATTTATCACAAGCAGCATTTCAACTGTAAAATGTAGACATCAATGTCTTATGTGGGAAAATCCCTCCTTTACAGACTGCGTCTACGCTCATGTCTTCAAAACAAAGGGAAAGGTACAGGGCAGTTTATAGTGCCATGCTCCCAACAGTGTTGAAAAGGGGTTAGAAAAGGTTACAGGACTTAAGTGAGCAAGATCAAGGCAGGTGAGGGGCTCAGAAAACATGGGGGAATCCTTAACAAGAGAAAAGCCTCAGGTAGGAGAACTAAAATAACGTGAGAGGCCTTTAGTCTCTCAGTCTCTTAAACCTCTTGGCCTTCAGAGTCTGAGTATGGGCAGAGATAGGCTCCAGGACGTCCATGTCAAAGGTGGAGGGAAGAGAGAAATGACTGCTCTTCATATCCATCTGAGAATGTAGGAAGTGGAAAGGGGATAAATACAATAGCTAAAGAGTACTATCTGGGGATGGAATGAAGTCAAACTTTGCCTTCATTTATCCCATAGAAAAACCCTGACCAATTATCAGATTTGTGTAAATAATTTAAATCAGAAAAGTTAACAAGCTATCCCAAAGGAATGACAAAATATTTTTCAGTTTCACCCACCAAGAGTAGCACTTTCCTTCACACTGTATAGCCACTGACTTATATCAGATGTGGAAGGATTATCTGACAGGATATAATCAGGTACCTGGAAAAACGGAATCCCACCACTTGATGAACAATCCACACTAGCATCTATAGATGGCTCTTGACTTGGAGGTTCTTCTATTGAGTGCCCTAGAACTGACTTTTCTTCATCCAAGTCCTAAAATAAGAAGGTAGATTAGTGATTAAGTCCAAGGACTTAAAAATCTTCACAAAAGTAAATGCAGTTTTCTTCTTTGAAAATAACACAACATCCATTGCATAAAAGTTAAACCTCAACAAAATTCGTAGAAAGTCTAAAAAATAATGAAAATAATCCCAAATGTTTTCTCACAGAGAAGTACTTATAATGTGTTAAAAGTAGTAATCTCAGAATAATGGGATTACAGTTTAATTGTTAGTTTTTATGTTACTTTATGACTTCCCAACTTGTCTATAATTACTATAGTTAAGGGGTGCCTAGGTGGCTCAGTGGGTTAAGCGTCCAACTCTTTTTTTTTTTTTTTTTTAAGCTATTTATTTATTTGAGAGAGACTGTACAAGTAGGGGAAGGCAGAGACATGGGGGAAAGAGAGAGAGAATCTCAAGCAGGATCTGCACCCTCAGCACAGAGCCCGATGCAGGGCTCCAACCCATGGGCCCTGAGATCATGACCTCAGCTGACACCAAGAATCAGATGCTTAACCAACTTGACCCACCCAGGCACCCCTTGAGCACGGAGCCTGCTTAAGATTCTCTCTCTCCTTCTCCCTCTGTCCCTCCCCTGCTGACTCACGAGCATGCTCTCTCTCAAAAAAAAAATTAATAACAATAATTACTAGAGTTAAGAGCACAGATTGTGGAGCTCTTCTAGGTTCTAATTCCAACTCCACACTGACATAGGACAAGATACTTCTTAAGTTTCCTCACCTATAAAATGTGGATAGTACTAGCATCTATTTCAAAGGACTACTTAGAGAATTAACTGAGTATATATATTTATGTAAAGTGCTTAGAACAGGCTGTCACATAATAAGCACAAGTATTGGTTGTTATTATTATTATGACTTTAATAATTTTAAAATGCCCAGATTAAAAGAAACAGACTGAAGGGTCAGACGACTACCATTAATGAGACAGGGTAGGATTTAAGGGCAAAGAATAAAATTCTTCACATGAAGTTGATGACAAAAGGAGTTTATGCGAGAGATCTAATATTAGGAATGCTTTAAATTTTACCTGACTGATCTCTTCCTTGTTGTTTTCTGAACAGTTTAGCATCATTAACAGCTCAGGTTGCCTCCTTTTCAACTGATCAAGGAGCTGTTCACGTGGTTCAGTTCTCACCAGGGTTGATGGGTATAAGTAATTTTTCCTCTGTGGTGTCATACCTTTAGCGGATTATATAAACGGGAAAAGAATTGAAGTGTGGGATTTGAAGAAGATTTTTTTAATGCTAAAATGTATACTTCCAAATGAGTCTTGTCTTCCAAAGATATAGCCACTACCCTACATGGGATGGCCGTGTGGGTGTGTGTGTGTATGTGTATGTATACCTGTATATAATACTTCAAAGTATGTTATGCATATAGCTTTGAAGTATAATTTCATACCATAAAACCTACTCAATGATTTTTAATAAATTGACAGGGTCCACAACCCTCAATGCAATGCAAATAATGACTCAATTCTCATACTATTAAATAGTCTGTTATACTTTCTTCCCTAAATCATGATAGCCTACACTGATCTTTGCCATCTGACCTCTCAAAATGGTGATTCCTAAATGCGAAAAGTCCATGACAAAATAAGAGGTACACATAAGAAAATGCACAACGTGGTATGGTTTTTCCACTAAACTAAATTTATTTAATTTCATTCCTCAATTTTTGGTATTAAAATGCCCTGATACAAAACAGTGCTAGATAGATGGTTGCTGGTTTTCATTTGCTTTTAAAATGTCTTCTCTTAACAAAGCCACTTCCCTAAATGTTTGTAAAATTTTATTGAATTGGGATGCCCAAATTTCTACAAGTACATGTCACTTGTATCATGACACCTAATCTTGATTAAAGCTATTTTAGGGTCCCAGTTTTTCCATTTGAGTTGACTACAGCGAGATGGTAAAATCCTATCAGACAACAGCAGGACCTGCTTCTTATGAACATCTGGCACACTACAAGGTTGACTTCAACTTTAAAAATTTGAGGGGCGCCTGGGTGGCGCAGTCGGTTAAGCGTCCGACTTCAGCCAGGTTACGATCTCGCGGTCCGTGAGTTCGAGCCCCGCGTCGGGCTCTGGGCTGATGGCTCAGAGCCTGGAGCCTGTTTCCGATTCTGTGTCTCCCTCTCTCTCTGCCCCTCCCCCGTTCATGCTCTGTCTCTCTCTGTCCCAAAAATAAATAAACGTTGAAAAAAAAAAAAAAAAA